GAATATTCAGCCATCAGCCACCCACCACTCGCAACCCTAACCCCGAATGCCCGATCGCTTGCGGCCCACAGCCTGCCACGCACCAAAGTCTAGCCAGAGTCTAAGTCTAACTGGCCCATTCGTTCAGCCTATATATGCAGGGTTAAATTAGAACTGCACAATATAATACCAACTTACCTCGCTCTTGCACTGGCTCTGGCTCTGGCTCTGGAGCAGGAGTTGGGACACGAGGGGGTGTTGAAATGGGGACAGGGAGCGGGTCATCCTGGTACATGCCTGCCGTGCGGTCTTCTGCAGAGAATGTAAGCTAGTGTCCCCATATAGTGAGAAAAGACTTACCAGGGCTGGGAGAACGACGGGGTATAGGTACATGCGGTTGCGCCTGCACTGAGGGGCCAGGCACAGGTCCTGGAACACTGGCACCAGCCAGGAAGGTCTTGAGCTCGTCAAACATCCCTCTCAACTCTTGCTTGGTTGAGGTGGATGTGTCTTGAATGCGTTGCGACGTCTCTTGAAGGAGGCGCCGCTCCATGGAAGCGAGTCTTGGCTCTAGCTCATCCCTGACTGCTTGCACGGCTGCCTGCACCACGGCTTGCACATCCAGCCCACCTGGAGCAGCAATGGGAAGGCGGGCAGGGGCAGGCTTGAAGTTGGCACGTGCAGCAGCAGCCAGAGAGAGACGTTCTCCACCTGTAGGCTGGTGTAAGGCAGAATATTTGAGATAAAGCAGAAGACTTACCTGGAACCAGGCCAAGAACCTTCTGCCAGAGCACAGAAGTCTTGAGGAAAGGCCCAATGTAGTCCTCTGCCAGGCCAGTTGCAGACCAGTTGGTGACACCATAGCGGGTAGTGTCCACGCTGTGCGAGTGCCCAGCCTGCGCAGAGTCCACGGTGTCCTGGTCCTCCAGCCACATCTCCTCTAGGCCAGCGTGCTTGCGGCGGAAAGGGGTAGAGCACTGGCGCCACTTGGAGATGCCAAGCTTGATGCCCAGATGCTGCTGGGTCCAGACCCTCATCTCGTTGGTGATGTCGTCCCCGACGAAGGGCCTGTCATAGTTGACAAACAGGAAGTCCTGGTAGAGAGACTTCACCTTCTGGTCGCCAGGAAACAGCACACTTGCACAGAGCTGGGCAAAAGGGCGGCAGATTGCCTCCTTGTAGATGAACACGGCTGCGAGCGCTGCATTCAGGGCGTGGGGGATGACACGGTCCAGACCAGAGGCCGCGCGCATCTTGTGGTACGTCCGCATGAGCACGATGTACTCCCCAATGATGCGCAGGGCACGGAGCATGCCACCAGGAGTGTTGGCAGTAGGCATGGCGGTCAGCTCTGTTGTCCGCCCAGGGGCACCGCAGTTCATCTCAGCTTGGATGAGACAAAGCAGGTTGAGTTGGGTGAAGCCAGACAGCCAGATAGCCAGCTCCACAGTGTTCCAGATGACCTTCTCGCCCTCGACCCTGACCACGAAGCGCTTACGCAGCGCAGGAGTGTTGAGGATGTAGTTGGCCAGCTGATCCTTGGGGCCAAGAACGTCCTCATTCAGACGGTCCTCGAAGAGCGAGTAGCCAGCCTCATTGTTGCCCATGTCGTCCGTGAGCGCAGCAATGTCGATGGGGAAGTGGTGGCCAAGCAGCAGAGTCTCTTCGAGAAGCTTCTTGGTTGCGTCCTCCAAGGCACCCTGGCACTCGCGCAGCGCCTCGAGAGAGATCTCCTTGCCCAGGTAGATCAGCGTGGAGAAGTTGGTGCCCTCCTTCCACACCATGTCCGGCTCGTTCTGCGTGGACATGGTAATGCTGGATGCGCGGTGCTGGAGAGACCTGAGCGAGTGGAATGTAGACTCGCAGCCCACTGTAAACCACTTGCGCAGGTCCAGCGCAGACTGCTTGAGGGTGGGGGCATGCTCTGGCTGCGAAAGGCGCTGGTGGCACTCGTACAGGAATGTCAAGCGCTGAGAACAGTCAGCATAGCCCATTCAGAGCAATAAGGCGACTTACCATGTTGTACACGAGCTTAGCAAATATGCCAGTCACGTTCGCTGGCTTCTTCAGGCTGCCATCCTTCTCCACTTGCGTGTGGATCACGAAGCGAACAGTGGGGTCCGGGAAGAGGTTGTCCGCAGTAGGGGTCCACTCACGCATCCACAGCGCAAGCAGAAGACGGTGGATGGCTGCCACAGCGTCATCCATGTCCCGGTCCAAGGCATGGCGCAGAGCAGTGAGCAGGTCACCCACATCCGCAGGCAGGTCCATGTCATCCTCCGCACGGAGCAGAAGAAGGAGGAGCTGCTCCACGAGCTGCCTGTACGCACGGAGAGTGGGCTCTGCTTGATGTTGCGCGAATGGCTGATGGTTGAAGTTGCTGAAGAACAGGGTAAGCAAACTGGCAAGTAAATATCATACTGACTCACCTAATGTCCGTGTCCGTGTTCAAGATCTGCAGGCAGACCTCGCTAGTGGTGGGGATGTACTGGTACGCCTTGTCTATGTAGTTGCGGACACAGGCAATGAGGTAGAAAAACGGCTGGCCGTCCTTGGGAAGCTCAATCAGATTGAGCATCATCTGCGGATCCTTGCCCTCCATGTACTGCATCCAGCGGGTGGTGACGTGCCAGGGACTGATGTGGCGGTGGTCCAGCTCGGCAGCAGGGATAGGCGGGCGGGTGTCAAGCTCCTGGCGCAAGGCAAGAAGGTAGTTGGCGGAGGGGCCAGGCAGATAGGAAGAGCGGGCAACGACAGGGAACCAGGAGTGATGATTGGCTTCTTGCTGCGAGAGGCGCTGCATCCAGCCCGTGCGCAAGTCTTTCGACTCGAGTGCAAGGCCGTGATCTTCACGAGTGTGGGCAAGAGCACCCTTGTTGTAGGTGAACATGAGGGAGCACCCCTCGACTGGGCACCCGGCACCCCACTTACGCTCAAGCCCCTGGTACTCTACATCTCCAGGCGCAACAGCAGGCCACCCAGTCTGAATCAACCCCTGGTCCACGAGCGCCTGCAGCACGGTCTTGTCAACAGCCAACTTGGCTGGCTTGCGGTGGTGCGAGATGGCGATGGCGGGTGGCTTGTGGTGGTGCGAGACAGCGGCGGCAGGGGTGACAACAGATTTGCAGCCCATACAGACCAGGGCTTTGAGCCGGCTACTGATCTGAAAGCCCCAGGTGGCGAGGGTGCCCTCTGGGACATCGTAGAGCTAGAAATAGTGATAAGCCAAGCATAGAGCACATAATATATCAATGCTTACCTCTGACGCCTCCTCCTCAGGCTCTGGAGACGGAGGGGCATCCACAGACATCTCAGATGTGTTGGAGCGCCCCCCTGGGCTACGCACAACATCCATGGGGGAGGCAGGGTTCATGGGAGTGGCAGGTCTTGAAGGCTATGGAATATTTGAGTGCTGGGAATATTTACCAGATTATTTGACTCACAACTGGAGTGGCAGGGTCTTCTTGGATAGGAGGGAGAGGGGCAGCAGCAGGTATCTAGAATATTTGGTCAATATCTGAGATATACAGAATATATAGTGCTTACCTTCCAGTTATCATGCTGGACTTTTCTTAGATGGATGAACAGAGCCTGCCTGGTGCCAAATGTCTTACGACAGACATGACCTTGATTGTTGATGCACTGACAGAGAATTTTCCAAGGATTATTAGGCTGCCTCTCAATAGGAATTAGGGGCCCTGTCTCAGAAAGAGGATGCTGGTGTATAGAAAAAACAATTCTTTTACACTCCCTTAGATGAGTGCTTTCAGCCATATTGAAAGACTGGGCACAGTGAGGGCAGTTGAAAGGCATTGTGAAGGTGATTGAGCAGAATAAGCAGGAAATGGGCGAGTGGAGATGGTGGTGGTAAGAGGTCAAGAGAGATATTACTAATTAGGATTGAATATAGACTGGAGACAAATATGAATAAACAAAAGCTGCCTGTCAGGCAAAGTGACTTAGGGATACAGACATGTGGTATATAGTGGCATTTTAATGGCACTGCCGTTATAAGGGCGCCCTCACCATGCACTTGTGTGGACTCACTCATATAGTGGCATTTTAATGGCAGTGCCGTTATAAGGGGAGGTCCATCAGTCAGAGTTCAATACCCTTGTATCCAGTGAATACACTCACCCATACAGACACTGGTGTGCACTCACCCATATAGTGGCATTTTAATGGCAGTGCCGTTATAAGGGGGCACTCATCATGCACTTGTGTGCACCTGCTCATATAGTGGCATTTTAATGGCACTGCCGTTATAAGGGGGGCACACTCACTCATACAGACACTGGTGCACAGTCGCCCATATAGTGGCATTTTAATGGCAGTGCCATTATAAGGGTGCAGTCACCCATACACATGCTTGTGTGCACCCACTCATATAGTGGCATTTTAATGGCACTGCCGTTATAAGGGCGCACTCATCATGCACTTGTGTGCACCTGCTCATATAGTGGCATTTTAATGGCACTGCCGTTATAAGGGGGGCACACTCACTCATACAGACACTGGTGCACAGTCGCCCATATAGTGGCATTTTAATGGCAGTGCCATTATAAGGGTGCAGTCACCCATACACATGCTTGTGTGCACCCACTCATATAGTGGCATTTTAATGGCACTGCCGTTATAAGGGCGCACTCACTGTGCACTTGTGTGCACTCACTCATATAGTGGCATTTTAATGGCACTGCCATTATAAGGGTAGGTCCATCAGTCAGAGTTCAATACCCTTGTATCCAGTGAATACAAGCCATTATCTATACAACCAGCGTAGCTATCAACATGAAACAACTTGCACTTTGTAGCCCTCAGTCCTGGCTATCAGAACGCGCTCGGATACAAGGTTGTTGCCCAAGCGGTTGCGGAGATATTGCCCCTGCACTAATCTTGTATTCAGCTTGTATCCAGACCTTGTATCCAGCAGATACAAGGGCATATCTCGACGACCAGGGAAGCTATTGACATGAATGAAAGTGCGCCTTATAGCGGCACCCAAGGGCTCCAATATCGCCCCTTGTATCCAGATGATTGGCCTTGAAGTGGTGGATATATGACCTTTTTTTTGCCCTTGACCCCTGCTCCTAGCGATAAAATGTGAATATCTCCGCTGGGAAAATAGATACAGACGTGCGGTAATGTGCGTGAGATAGCCGTCATTGAGGGCTACAACATTGTCACCAACACCCAAGCAATCGCACAAGCGATGGGCGAGATATGACCTTGTATTCACCTTGTATCCAGCTTGTATCCAGCTTGTATTCACTGAATACAAGGCCATATCTCCGCAACCAGGACAGATATTCACACCAACTAAATTGCATGTTGTAGCCACTGCTCAGGGCTATCAGAAAACCCCCGGATACAAGCCGGTTGTCCAGGGGGTTGCGGAGATATCGACCATACACTGATCTTGTATCCAGATCTTGTATCCAGCAGATACAAGGCCATATCTCCGCCACCAGGGCAGATA